TAACATTATAAAAGCTCTTTATTCCAAAGATACTACAAGCTAGTTAGTGTATAGGAGTAATGTATTGTAAGTTGCTTCAGAGGCATAAGGTTTTGCAAGTATTACATAAAACAATTATAAAACAGTGTGTTGACAAAAAATTAAATTTACTTTTGGTACTTAAGTACTTTTAAAAGCAAGTACTTCTGTACTTTTACTTAAGTAAAAATCTGTCTTTACAACTTTCTCTTGGAGTAATATTTGACCAGCAGTATCTGTACTTTCACTCAAGTAAGGGAGTTGTGTACTTTGTCCTGCTCTGCCTGTAAGGTGTACAACATGAACACTGTGTCCAAGGAGGTGGAGCTGCCTGGTGGATTTTTTCTTGGTGCTGGTGCTGTTTCCTGCAAGACAGTTGGCATGAATGGAGAGGTCTGTATAGCTGTACTAAAAGAAGCAGCATGAAGTTTTTCCACATTAAAGTGTTTATACCTAATGAAATGGTAAAAAATCAATGAATGAAAGAAAAAAAACTGATGTGAATTTGCAGTGGCATCAGTAAACAAACATTTTTATTTGTAATGTCAACAAAAAAAGTCATGTCACTACAAAACATATTTTTTGTTTTAAATAAACAGCCTTTTGGTTTAATGTGGAATTCGGTGGGGTTTATAACACTGTTTTGTCACGTTTTTTTCGTAGTTAATGCCTCTGATGCTGACTGAAGCTGAAGGAAGACCTGCAGTGAATGCCAGTTACTTTTCATCCATCAACCCAGTGGATGGAAAATGTCTGCAGGAGAAATACAGCGACAGGTTCCATGACTGTGACTTCGGCCTCCTTGCAAACCTTTATGCATGTGAGGGCAAACCTGGAAAGGTAAAAACCATGGGGACTTTGCTCTTCATATTACACTGACAGAATTGCAGCGCTATAATCCTAATAATACTGTGATGTATTTCCTTTTGTAATGGCCAAAAATGATGAAATGGTTATCAGGAGTGAGCTATTGATAATTATTACAGAACCCAAAACTACTTGAAAGGCATTTATTGAATATTTGCGCACTGCTGTTCATGTGGATTTTTCAAATGTTTTTAAAATAAGTCTCTTGCTCGCCAAGACCACATTTATTTGATTAAAATACAATAAAAACAATAATTTTGTGAAGTATTACAATTTAAAATAACTTAATTTTTATATATTTTGAAATGTAATTTATTCCTGTGATGGCAAAGCTGAATTTACAGCAGCCATTTGTCCAGTCTTCAGTGTCACATGATCCTTCAGTGATTATTCTAATGGCGCTTTTCCACTGCGTGGTACGGCGATTCTCTCCGGCCAATCAGTGATCAGCAGAGTTTACACGTCACGTTTTGGTAACGGTACGGTTCACTTGGAACCTCAACCGAGGTGGTACTGAAAAAAGTACCAGGTACTGTACCCAGTGGAAACCCCCCCAAAAGTGAACCATACCGTGCCGTACAATGCAGTGGAAAAGCGCCATAATATACTAATTCGGTGTTCAAGATACATTTCTTAGTATTATCAATGTTAAAAACAGTTGTGCTGCCTGATATTTTTGTGGGATGAATAGAATTCTTTGTTGAATTGAAAGTTCAAAAGTAAGTTTTTTTGAAGCTTTTGTTTTTTTCCTTTTGAAAGTTCGTGTTTGTTTTTCTTTTTTTCGTCCACCATGGATCTGTCAGCAGTACAGTTACTGTGCCTTGACCAGAAGGACCGCTCTTTGGAGGAACATTTGGAGGAATTCCTCAGTCTCGTACCAGCAACACCGTTCCCGGATGACTGCCTCTGCAGCTTCCTGCATGCCGGCCAACACTGCCACCAGAAAGCCCTTGAGGGAGTTTTGCCGAATATGTAGAGTGGGTGCTGGTGTCCTGTGAATCGCCGCTCACAGTGGACATTGTCAAGGCCTCAGGCCTGCCGGTAGCCACCTCTTCCCGGGCTTGATGAGCCCGTAGCTGTCTACTATCTCTGTGTGCTCCGCTCCACCTCAACCCATCGCCCTGGCTCCTGCGCCTATGCTCCTTCCACCCTCAATGTCAGCAGTGAACATCAGGCATTTGCCCTCGCTGAGCTCCCTCGGTACGTCGGCTCTACCTGTGTCAGACATTGCACCACCTTCGCCATGGTCTTGCAGACCGTTTGCTGCACTTCGGCCCTCCACCCCTTCGGCTTGCTGCTAGCTCCGCCCTCCCTCAGGCTCCACCTCTGCCCTCGGTCACTCCCGCTCAACCTCTGCCCTCTGTTTCTCTGCTTCCAACTCAGGGGGTCGTCCCTACGGCTCTGTCGCTGCCGCCTAGGTCTTCGGTGTCTCTCCGCTTCATTGAATCTCCAAGTGCGTGGTGGGCTCTTCCCTCCACGTCATCGTCACCTCCAGTTGTCCCCATGGTGGCGTCCGTGACTACATCCCCATGTGAAGCCGGCGTGGTGCGCAGTCTAAGCTGTGGCCTGGATCAGTGACCATCTTCCTCTTCTCAAGGCTACATCTTGGACTTCACTTTCACGACCACGCTGGGCTTTTTTGTTTGACCTCCTCCCGAATGTCCTTCCTCCTCCAGAGTCTCATCCGTTTTCCATCCTTCAACACATGGTCGTGCCTTCTGGAAGGGGGCGTTCTGTCACACACATGCACACTCTCCATGTGGACTTTGTTTATGTTTGCACCGTTTTCCTACCTAAGTTAAATGGTTGTCATGGTTATTGATTTTGATTGTATTATGTTCAGCTGTGTTTGCCTTATCACTGTCCCTATTTAAGCTAATGCCTTTTCAGTTTGTGTTGTCCGGCCTCGTGTACACTACCCTGGTTTTGTGTGAGTTATCCTGTATTTCTGTCAGCCTGAGAATTATTATATTAAAACACCCTGGATTCTAGTAGCTTTGTCTTTGTGCATGTGCTTTTATGCAATCGAGTTGTAACAACAACATTATTATCAAACAGTAACAAGGTTTGAAAAACTACCATTGCAGGTCATTGAGGTGAGAGCCTGCAGAAGAACTGGAGAGGACAGTCTTGTGAGCTGCATGAGAAAGACCATGGAAGAACATTATGGGGAGAAGAGCGTGGCCCTGGGGGGAACTTTCGTCGTACAAAAGGGGAAGGCGAAGATCCATATTATGGTAATAAAAAAAAATAAACATAATTAAAAAAATAAACATTTGGATGTCCTAAAAAAAGCACAAGAGTCCAGATGTAAAAATCTGCTTAATTTATTTAATAACAAAAAGTTCAAATCTTTGTATAATTATTATATTAAGCAAATTGTATGGATCAAAAAGTATATATTTATAGCATTGTGGATTCTATAGATAATAGTAAAACAGTAATATTTCACAATGTTACTCTTTTTACTATATTTTTGATCAAACAAGTGCAGCCTTGGTGAACATAAGAGACTTCTTTCAGAAATGTTATCTTACTGACCCCAAACTTTTGAATTGAAGTGTACAGTCTTTTTATGCTTTTCAGTTTTGGTTGTAATACTGTGATTCTTTTTTGTGTGTGTGTTTGTGTACTGGTATTCACTACGTTATGGGGACCAAATGTCCCCACAAAGTATAGTAATACCAGTAAATTTTGACCTTGTGGGGACATTGTTTTGGCCCCTATGAGGAAACAAGCTTATAAATCATACAGAATAAATGCAGAAAGTTTCCTGTGAGTGGTAGGTTTAGGATTAGGGTAAGGGGATAGAAAATACAGTTTGTACAGTATAAAAACCATTATTTGTATGGAATGTCCCTATAATGATAGGAATACGTGTGTGTGTGTGTGTGTGTGTGTGTGTGTAAGCAGTCACTGATAAAATATAGAATAAAGTAGCATCTTGAACTATGATTAAACTTAAAAATGGTAGAGCAGAAATGATGTGATGGAAGAAATGATGTGAAAACGTAATCTTTTCACTGCTCTGTCTTTAAGCCACCTGAATTCTCCGCCTGCCCTCTAAACACCAATGAGGATGTCAATAACTGGCTCAGGCATTTTGAAATCAGTGCTCCACTGATCTTTCAAACTGTCATGGTGTCCAGAGACCCAGTGAGTACCAACCCACCGTGTCATACCTCCATTTCACTGACAATATTATTCTGCATCTTTGCTAAATATTTAATATCAACTAATTTTAGTTGGTCCCAATTCACAGGGTCTTGACCTGAGAGTGGAGCATACTCATGGCTTCAGTCATCATGGTGAGGGGGGCCATTACTACATAGACACCACTCCAAACTCAGTGGAGTACCTGGGATACTTCCTGCCCGCTGAGTTCATCTACCGTATCGACCGACCCACTGAGACACACAATATTGGCCGGGATTAAACTATTGACAGTTCTTATTTTTTATGCTATAAAAGCATTATAAGCACTATAGTTATAGTTTTTGCCCTGTTTACCAGGAGCAATTTATGTTGATGAATAGTAAATAAATATAATAAGTATTGAGCGATTTGAGCACTTTTCACAATCCAATACATTTCACAATACATTTTGTACTACTTGATATTCAGGCCATTTCAAATAGCAATTTTTTTTCCATCAATTTCACAGGGAGATTAGCCTATTAATTGAAACATTAGTGAACTGAATTTTTCACAACTGCACAACATTTTTGCAACTGATTTGGCACAGCAACAAATATAGCACCAAATCAGCATATTATATGATTTCTGAAGGATCATGTGGCACTGAAGACTGGAGTAATGGCTGCTGAAAATTCAGCGTTGGATTCACAGGAATAAATTACATTTTAAAATCTATTAAAATAGAAAAAGTTCAACTTCTCAGAAAACAAACTGTAATACTATTTAACAGTATTGCTTTTTTACTTGTGTTGTTGATTAAATAAATGTAGCCTTCATGAGCCTTCTTTCAAAAACATTTAAAAATCTTAATCATTCTAAACCTTTGATTGGTAGTGTATTAAACATTTTAAAAAATATAGTGTGCTCAGTATTCATTAATTTGTAACACTCACATGCAAAGACAAAGAATAACATAGACCTTTCACCTGATCTTTTATTTAGTCAAGACCTACAGTATATTAGGCCTGCCTCAAGTTTTCATATTGTCTACTGCCAACTAGAACTGAGGAATATTAGTACATTCTCAACCTGCCAAATTTATAGGAGCTCTGCCAAAGCCTTTAACATTTCATTTCTAATCGGGCATTAGGAATCAGCTCTGAAAGTTTTGGCTGTGGCAGAGAAAGAAGCTGATTGGCTACTTTCGCATGGCTCAGGAAGGGATATGAACTCCATACCATCAGCATCAATCTTCAAAATTTCTCTGTTCTTGCTTTCATCTGTCACAAGAATAAGGGAGGCCTTGGCAACATCATCAGGCCTATAAATAAAGCAATGACAGTGAAGTCATTTTCACTAAACGAATACTTTTCACTGCAAAATCGCTACTGAATAGTATAAGGACTGTTAACTCACACCTCAAAGTCGTTTCTCTCCAGAACCATCTCCTTCAGTCCCTCTAATTCCGAAAACTGTCCGAAATGGTCCTCTAAATTAGGAGAGGACAGCAGGTTAGTCTTCACCACACCTGGACAGAGAATGTTGATCCTCACCCCAAGGTTGGACTTCATAGCAACAGCCTGTTAAACATACTAAATTAATCAAATCTGCCTGATTATTAGCAAGAGATGTACTCCCAATTATCTTTCAAAGCTTCAAGTTCATGTGAGTTATTGCTGTCATATTACAATGGGGAAAAAAAGCTTTTATTCATTATATATTACTAACCATACTGCAATAGCACGGCTGAATCCCACAACTGCATATTTAGTCGCTCTGTAGATGGGCACTGTTGGCACAAACCACAGACCTGTTGACAATATGAAAAAGTTGAGTAAATACAGTATACTGTATATATATATATATATATATACACACACACACAGATTAACCATTACATTATGACCACCCATCTAATAACCTGTAGGACCTCCTTTAGCAAACAAAACAGTGGCCATGTAAATTTGAATTTGGAGCATGGCGCATTATCATTTTGGTAATGGCCAAGGAACACAGTTGCCACGAAAGGGTGCACTTGGTCCGCAACAATGTTCAGATACTTGACAGCTGTCAGGGATTGTGCTGTTGGGATAATGGGGCCTAAAGTGTCCCAAGAAAACATCGCCCGCAGCATAACACCACCACTGCCGGCTTGTTTCTGCTCAAAAGTGCATCCAGGTGCCATAGCCTCTGTTGGTAATCGGTGTATCCTCGCTCGCCCGTCTATGTAATGCACCAGGAATCTTGATTCATCAGACCACTTTCTTCCAATCATCCATGGTCCAATCTTGATGATCTTGGGCCCATTTCATGCTTTGTTGGTGATGGTGTGCAGTTAGCATGGGGACCCGGCTGGGTCGTTGGCTACGCAGGCCCATACGCAGAAGGCTGTGATGAATTGTGTGCTGTGAGTTGTGACACCCTGGTCACCACTTTTGTAGATGCTGGTGATTTGTCGCACAGTGGCCCTGCTGCCACAGCCTGAGCTGCGTACAACACACGGCTGCGGTTTATCGTTTGGCCATCCGTGCAACACATTTGATATGTACTCACTACAGCATCACATGAACAACCCACAAAGCGTGCTGTTTCCAAGATCGAAGTTCCGAGGCAGCATGCCATCAAAATTTGTCCTTTATCAAACTCAGATAAATCGTCAGCTTGAAAGCAAGTACTCAGGTGGTACATATACTGCTCTGTGAACTGCACCTGCGGCACCAAATTAATTTATGTGATGGTAAAGCTGAATTTTCAGCAGCATTACTCTAGGCTTCTGTGTCACATGATCCTTCAGAAATAATTCTAATTGGTTGATTTGGTGCTCAATTATTATCAGTTATAACTGGTTATTATTAACAGTGGTCCTTATTCTTATCAATGTTGAAAATAATTTTTGCTGCTTAATATTTTTGTGGAAATCATAATGCATTTTTTCCTTTAATGAATAGAAAATCCAACAGCATTTATTTGTTAAATATAAATATTTTGTAACATTATACATGTCTTTACAGTCACTTTTCATTAAATCATCATTGCTGAATAAAAGTATTCATTTATTTTAAAAAATCGTACTAACCCCACATTTTTTAATGAAAATGTATCACTGTTTCCACAGAAATATGAAGCAGCACAACTGTTTTCAACATTGATAATAATAAGAAATGCTTCTTGTGCACCAAAATTAGCATTTGAGAATGATTTTTGAAGGATCATGTGAGACTGAAGACTGGAGTAATGGCTACTGCTTGTATCACAGAAATAAATTACATTTCAAAATATATTAAAATAGAAAAGTTATTTTCAATTGTAATGATATTTCACAATATTACAATTTTTTTCTGTATTTTCAATCAAATAAATGCATTTGTTTATATAATATACATATTGTTAAAATATATAATATACATATGATTAAATATATATTTAAAAAATGTTATTGATTGACTCATTTACTGTATTAAGTTCCAAACCTGCAGTAGATGATATGTTGATAATTGCCCCTTTGCCATCAGGACTGTCCTTCATGTACTGCAGAGCCAGATGTTCCCCTCCCCAGCCCAACCTATAACAGCCACATGAACAGTGCAACATGTTGCTAGATGAACAGATAGACAGACAGACAGATGGACTGATGCATTATTAAAATCATACCATGTTTATGGCAATGGTTTTCTCCCAGTCATTTTCATTGAGGATCCCTGCATTGTTGTACATAATGTCAATGTGGCCAAACCTGTCCACAATTTTCTGAAAAACTCCTGTAAAGAAAATCTCATCATTTCATCTTTTCCAGACAAATAAAAAAGACTAATAATAATAAAAATAATAATACACATAAAAATCTTTAAATACCTGTAAATTCCTCCTTAGATGAGACATCCGCAACATAAAATTCAACCCTGTCTGGTCCATATTCTTCGGCAAGTGCAGCCTTCAACTCTTTTCCCAGTGGTTCATTCACGTCAATGAAGGCCACCTGTAATCAAAATGAATCTGTAGTCTGATGAGCACTGATAGTTACCACTTACAGCAAAAACCCTATTTATATAGCAGAAAAAAAAATGTCTTGTGGTTTTCATGTGTTTTGCATTTGTGCCTTGAATGTTTGATATGTCTTGAGGTGATCATAATGCAAAATCAGAACTTTTTGTGCATTCAAAGAAATGGCTTCATTTACTTGTGCTTATATTTTAGAATAAATACCGCAGACTGCGGTCTTGGAGGGCCACTGTCCTGCAGACTGTAGCTCCACACAGCTCCAAAACACCTACCTGGAAGTTTCTAGTAATTCTGAAGACCTTGATTAGCTGGTTCAGGGGGTGTGTTTAATTAGGGTTGGAGCTAAACTCAGGACAGTGGCCCTCCAGAAACTGAATTTGACACCCCTGATTTAATGCATCAAATTATTCTTTTTGTGTTTCTTTGTACTATCAACACCTGAAGAGATCATACTTTCTCATACACTGAAATTTATACTTTAATTCTAATGTAAACCACTTTGCTTTTTTTTTTTTTGCTACATATGCTAAATATCATATGAACTTACCACAATTCCAGCAGCACTGTTAATTTATTACCCACTCAAAACTTTCTCAAAACACTTTTGCTCATTGTTCAGACTTAGGCTTATGTCACTCTGGTAACTAAAAGAGCTCCAGGAGCACAAACTGTTCATTTCTTTGTCATTTACATAATCATCCATGTAAAACAGAGGATTAAAACATGCACACCACACACAGACACAGACACACACACACACAGAGATCTTAGCAATGAACATCAGTAATTCAGTGGATCAGAGTCAATGCTGACAGACATATTTTGCGTATATGAATTCTCTGAGGTGACAAACTATTGTGAGAAATCTAATTTCTGACAGTAACACTACTTGGCTGTTTCCAATAAGATAAAAGAAGAAATTTAAAACTAAATATAAAACTACGATGCATGATACATAAATGTAAATGGGCCTAGATGTAATGAGAATTGAACAGTTTCAAATACATCTTTCACCTCTAAATCGCAGAACATTAATAAGATAGTATAGAAAAAAATTTACTAACAGAGCAATGTTTTGATAGAGCCATTTATGTCTCAGGTTGATTTTTATTAAAACAATCTTTTTGTTATACTGTTTGAAGATCACATTAAAACTTTCTGTCTTCAATTTATTTTTGCCACTTTTAAAATGCCATTACCCTAACCAAACACAGGCTTGCAACCCTAAAATATGAAAATACATAAAATCTGTATAGAGCATGCTTGCAACGAGACATATGGTACGTAAAGAACCGCTGAATCAGTTTTTAATTCGGGCTCTTTGAATTGAACTGTTCGAAAGAACCGATTCGAGGTATGACTCGTGGTTCACTAGCGCTCGCGCCAAGGCACGCACACGACTCGCGCCAAAACGAATTCGTCGTAATAAGCAAAAATGTTGACACTGAAGACTTAATATAAAGTTAAACCACAGACACGCCTTAAATTACTAAATAAGCGTTTCTTATTCACATCTTTTCGCTCTTTGAATTGAACTGTTCGAAAGAACCGATTCGAGGTATGACTCGTGGTTCACTAGCGCTCGCGCCAAGGCACGCACACGACTCGCGCCAAAACGAATTCGTTGCAAAAAGCAAAAATGTTGACATTGAAGACTTAATATAAAGTTAAACCACAGACACGCCTTAAATGACTAAATAAGCGTTTCTTATTCACATCTTTTCACTTCATTGACGTCATTTCGTACTGGTAAGCACAGTTTTATTCGCACATGAATGACCTTTTACTATTAGTAAGATCAATTTAGCAAATAGTAAAAACCTCAGCTTGAGTATTAACGTTATTACATACGAAATCATTATAGAAGCTTTTTACTTAATAGTTCAACAATACTTATGGTTTTGAGCGGAGTTAAGAGAGTGAGAACAAGACAGAAAAGGTTATACATTTTCATGGAGTCGACACAAACTCTCAAAACTAAATATTGATGAGAAACCAGACCCCCTAATGCCACTGATAACTGGTATACATATAAAAGTTTATGAATTATTGGAAATGAATTATTTGACAATGAATTATTGTTTCACTTTTGCACAATAATATTGTTAAACCTCTCAGCCAGTGATTTGTCAAGATGCGGAGGAATGAAAACCAGAGACCAACCACAGGTAGGATTTGCTGTCTATAATATGAATTATTATGTTACTTGGTTGGAAATACACAACAGAAAATAAAAGCTGGATTAGTTAACAGTCTGCCATCTACTATCTAAATAATCTAGCTAATTGGTTGCAATTTAATATATTTATTATTTTCAGAGAGGTCCCTGTACATAAATTTTCCTAATCAGTCAAAATAATTGAACTGCTTATGTGCTAATACAACACTTTAATGCAGTTAAAAGTGTTATTCAGGTTGCTGGAGCCTGAAATCAAAGAAGAGTTTTGTCTTTCTGCAGGCAGTCTCTCCGTACCTCTATTTAATCAAAGGAAGAGGAGCAGGCTGCCTTTGATGTCTAATCCTTCAGAGAGTGAGCTCTTCACTACCAGCCACTACAATGAGACAAAAAACTCCTCCGCTTCCTCCTCTGCTCTTCCCAGTATGTATTTCCACTGCGCCAGTCTCATATCTAATGCTGATGCAGCACTTTGTGCTTCATTGTTCAGATGGCAGATATTCACTTTCCAGTTGATCATCATTATGTTACACTGTAATACACTGAAATTATTTTTCAGGTAAGGTATGAACTCTAAAGCTAATTACAGGCTGTATGCAGGCAAAGCTGATAATGTCATTTTCTGTTTTTCATCAATTATGTTTTATTTTCAAATATAACCCTAGGATTCTCTTTAGCTTTAGGTCAGAGTGGTCAGTGGAACCAGCAAACCTATCTTTCATCACAGCAAGCCAGCATGAGATCTGCTCCTTCACCTGGTGTGGTGGGACGAGGATATGCACCTTTACCTCACCCAAAAAAACCTGCCTATGTCTGGTACTCAACTGATGCTAAGAAATAATGACTATATACCCAGAAAGGTCTTGAAGCTGCTGTGTCCGAATCTGTGCTCTATTTCTTCATAAATGCAGGATTGTATTTTAGAGCAAAGATTTAAAACCGTAAAGCAAGCATATAGCCAAAAATATCAAATTAAGATTGGTACCTTGTAAAAAAAAAAAAAAAAAGGAGCTATTTCTTCCTGACCTGAGCCTTAAGAATCACATGTTATAGTATTTAAGTAATCTTAGGTAACACTTAAAAGGAATAGTTCATCAAAAAATTTAAATTTGGTGAAAATTTACTCATCCTCAGGCCATCCAAAATTTGGAGAAATTTAGCATTACGTCACTTGCGCACCAATGGATTATCTGCAAATGAATGGGTGCGGTCAGAATGAGAGACAAAACAGCTGATAAAAACATCACAATAATCCTCAAGTAATCCACACGACTCTAGTCCATCAATTAACACCTTGTGAAGCAAAAAGCTGTTTTTGTAAGAAACAAATCCATCATTATCAATTTTGAATCTAAATCTGTTCCGATGAAGAAACAAACTCATCTACATCTTGGATAGCCTGAGGGTGAGTGCAATTTCAGACTTTTTTTTGGGGAGGGGGTGAACTATTCCTTTAACTACATTAGTTAACATGAACTGACAATGAAAAAAATACTTGTAAATCATTTATTAATCTT